CCCCCCCCCCCCCCCCTCGGTGTAATAAATGTACTTTCCCTAATACTCTGTCAGATCCGTGCTCTGCATTTTACTAATATGCGAAACGTATATATACTGTAGTTTTCGTGAGGATTTAATCTCATCATGCTTTCGGAAAATATATACCGGGTTTGACATGTTTCACCTCGCGAGAAAAAGATCTCAACGTCTGCGGGTGTTGCGAGCTTAGTGCTGAGCTGCTTGAACTAAGTAGCCAATAAGAATCCATAATCTTCACGTAAGCTGCATGAGCTAGCCACCACGCGAGGGGTTATTTCAGCACTCGACTCTCTCGTGTGCGGCAGGCGTGACGTTCTGTAATGCGATACTTCATTGCTGATATCAGTCATGCACGAACTACACATAAAATATGTTTCTATACAATACATAATTTTTTAAAAGTTGTTTCAAATAAAGCAAAGTATTTTCGTTACCATATTACCCTAATCGTATATCTTTACTGGCCGAACCGACCGGATCAAGATGGCGACTCGATCGATGGAGAGTTTACTATTCTAACCAGACACAGTACTAAAATGCGGTGCCCGCCTACAAATAAAACTTTCGGCGTTTCCGCCTACATGCACAAGTAAAGTTATATTTAGCACGCTATACATTCTCCTGTCGGCCGCCAGTTGGTCCGTATGTTAGGATCAAAACTGCGTTTTAAAGCCTTCAAAATAAAATATTTTGGGCTCAAAATACTATCAAAATGAGGAGAAAAGTGAGACGAATCCACTGGCATACGGCCGAAAACGAGAAAACCAACAATTCCGAAGTTATCAAGGATCAAACGGACTGCATTTTTAATTAGTTTAATAATTTTGAGCGATTTGTAAACAATACAATTTCGCTTATTAAAACTGCACATTAAAACCTTCAAAATATAAAATTTTGGGCTCAAACTACAAACAAAATAAAGAGAAAAGTGAGACAAATCGACTGGTATACGGACGAAAAAGAGAAAACCAACAATACGAAAGTTATCAAGGTCAAATGCATTGCATTTTTAATTAGTTTAATAATTTTGAGCGATTTGTGAACAATACAATTTCGCTTGTCTTTCAAAGGCCATAAATCGCTAGAATACTGTAGTTTAGTAATACATTTGACATCTGTGAGTATAATTTCTTACACTGAATCGAACGGTGGTATTGTTGTCCTTATTGGGCGCATAAAACCAGAGACAAGTCGCAGCAAAAAGTCAATCGTGAAAGTTCGAGATTAATTCGAAAGAAAACTTTCCTCGAAAAAAGGAATTCGGAAAACGTGAAGGATTATTTTGAGCGGCTTTTGTCTTTCAAAGGCGACAAATAGGTAGAGTAGAAGTCAATTTTGAAATCAATTTTCCATCCGTAAACACAACTTTTCACGCTGATTCGAACAGTGGTATTTTTGTCCTTGTTTTACGCATAAAACCAGAGATAAAACTGATCAAACAGTCGATCATCATGAGAGTACACGATTAATTAATAAATTCATAAATTCCGAGCGCGTGCAAGGAATTTTTTGTAGGCGATTAAGGAAACGTATTGATGCGAACACACTAACAAACGGACAAACTAACAAACTAACAAACTAACAAACTAACTAACAAACTAACTCACAGGCAGAATATAATGCGGTGCCAAAAATGGCACGGGCACCGCAATATACCGTATTTACCATTGAACTATAAGTAAACTGGAAGGCTAACTCAGGGGATTGAAGCCGTGCTTTGTAGGTAGTGCCAGTCCTTTTTCACAAATTTTTTTTGAAAAATACACTTTATATATAGATAAATTTTACTCCTTTAATCTCCTTTCCCCCTTTCCTTTTTCATTTTAGAGCGTACTAAGACAGTTAATCTTTTCACTCAAGTACTTACAATAAATAAACATCGTTCAACTGCTGAAATATTACAGAGCCAAAACAAAATTTGTCAAAAAACCTCGCGAAAATGTTTGTTTTTTTCTGAGTTATGAGACTTTCCAAAAAGAGTTAAGAGATTTTATGATACAAATTATATAGAAAAATATTAAATACGTTTGCAAATTTATTTTGAAGTACCCACGATTTACTTTTGACAGTTAAAATAAGCATTATCAAAGCTAGCTTGGCTGCCATATAAGTGCTCATATAAATGCCCAACAAAAAGATCAGCGATGACGAAAATCACATCACGTACTTGAAAAAGTCAATTTATTTCATGTTTTAGAAGGAATAAAACAAGGACTAAACTCAGGCTAGGGTTTAGTACAAACTAAGTTTTGGGCCGGACGTTCAAAATGTTTTATATTATACTTTTTTCGAGTTGAAGAGCGAGGTTTCCTTCGGCACGTCCAAACCTCGTCATTTTTTCAAAATACAAAAGCAAAACTCCTCACTTTTTGCTGCAGAGACATGTAAAACAGTCGGAACTAATTGGAAAACCTGGTTTGAATCCCAATCATAGCAGTATTCCCATGCAAAAAGTGTTTTTCTTGCACATTTTTGCTCGAAAACAAACTTTTGATCGAATTTTTTCACTCCTGGAAACTCGCCTTAGTCCTTTTGAAAGCTGAGTTTCCCGCACATCGGCTTCAACGAATCATAGGCCTTCCAGTTTACTTATAGTTCAATGGTATTTACTCGCTTAAACGCAGCCCTCGAATAAACGCCGCAGATAAAAAACAGGAATATTAATTATATTCGGTACTGAATCATTTCAGTGAGAAGTCGTGCAATAGCTTCCCGACTCCCCCCCCCGCTCCCCAACTCTACCTGATCTGAGTATATTAGATTCAAATTTGTTGTGAAGTTTCAACCTTGAACTTCATCCGGAAGTAATGTTTCCAATTCTTCGTCATTTGTTCAAATGGCTATCAATTAAGCCGCCAGATTACGCCGCAAGATATACGGCATAATCAGTTGCATGGCAAGTATAATGATTTAAAGCGTTCTATAATCATGGAAATTAATTCGGAGACTAAGGAAAAATTCCCAAATTTCCAATGTTGACTTGTCACCTAATCATCATGGTTTTAATCAACATTGTACCAGAGGGAGGAGGGTTTTACTATTACTAGCGTTGATGGACGTTTGTATTAAATTAACTAAGAAAAAAATAGCTTTACAAAATAGTGAGACACGATACTTAATATTGTGTGCGGATATTATTTCTATAATTGTAGAAAGGTTAAATTTCACTTAGAGTCAAGTATGAAGAAAATTTCCATTCGAAATAAGAAGTTCCAATGTTGGTGGATACATTGGCACACAATCAGAATCTATCACTCAGAGATTTCAATAATAGATAATCAATGTAGACAGTAGACCCAATTCTATTGTTTCACTTGCCGTGAAGGAAATTGGAATTCTGTAAACCTCCGTCTGTGAAAATTCTTGTATCGGATAAACTTACAGTAAGTTAATAAGGTAAAGCGAAGTACGACAAGTACCGTAGCTTTGTGCTTTTCGAAGACATATCGTCTATATCTCTCTTTCGACACACTTTAAATAATTAATTGATTAAAATCATGTTATATACAAATAAAATTATATTTTAAAATTACAAAGTTGGCGGTAAAATAAATCGATTTCGCTGTAACACAGCCTCTTCAGTACTCCGCCATCTTGTTTTTAAATTATTAGGGAAAGTACATTTATTATGCCGAGGGGGGGGGATGAAGATGTTAAGGGGGGGCTCCGAAATATTTTCTGGCATTAAAGAGGGGGCTCTGAAAGTTCTTGATATACTGAAGGGGGGGCTCTAAACTTTTCAAAGGTTTGACCCCAGCAAATTAAAGTTAAAATTTTTACATTTTCAGGTAAAACAGTTTGCGTAATAAAGTAATTATTTTTGTGAAATGATAACCATTTTTGTAAAATACAGTCAATTTACATGTAATTTGTTTGCGAAATTTGCTTTAGAAAACGCCAGAAATTCAGTCCTAGAGCTTCAAAAATGTAAAAATTTTCTGGGGGAGGACCCCCAGACCCCCCTTCAGGGATGCCAGAAGTTGCTGACGGTAAGGGGTGCAATTGGTTAACAAGAGGGCATACTCCTTAATAAAAGTGCACCAGTGAAAATGAAAGGGCGTCATGATCTTACATTCGTGTCGACCTCCCTCCCCGTTACCAATTTTTTTCGGACCGAATACAATTATCTAGGCACAATTCCTCCGTAATTTCTCGCCAAAAATTCCATAATTAATGCTTTCCGTTTCACTTTTCGCCAAATAGATAACAATTTTGCCGAATTCCTGACGACGGGGGTGGAACACTCCCACACACATCCTCGAACGACGTTTAATTCTGTCTGTTGTAAAAGTTTTGTGCACCTGTTACACCCATAGTCTGCACCCGCACTGCACCCACAAAGTTGAAAATGCAAAAGGCAAGGGGTGCACTTGCACCCGCTGCACCCGTGGTTCCGGCATCCCTGCCCCCCTTTTCTTCCAAAACTTAGTATGAGAGTGCCAATACGTATAATCCCCTGACCCCCACCCACCCCCAAACGTCAGATGCTTTGCTACGTCCCTGATGGTTGTATTCGAAACCGATTTCAGTTTTAAGATATCCTTAGTCTGCTCTTCTAAATGGATACATGAAATCACCTGTAGCTTATTTTAATTTTTTGGCGCCAGGTTTGTGAAGTAACTTACGCGCCAAAAAGTAGCAGTTCCAAAAACAAAAAAGCATATACGATTTGCAAGAATTATGTGTTCTATGTTTGTGGGATATTTCGTACAAACGGAATGGAAATTAAAGAAATTGAAGCATAATGGCACTCAGTTTGCATGCATTTTTGACAGGCATACAAAGACATTTGCAACAGATGCCGGGAGACACTTGGGTGGGGGCGACATTCTGTAAGGTTCCAGCACATTACCCTGATCCAGGAAATCCTGGCCACTACATGAACGTGTTCAAGACTCCGAATACGCTGAATGATGGACAACAACAACCTGTTGATAATTTCACCCCTAGAGCCAATTTAAAATGTTTTAAAGACGGTGCCATTTCATCTGGCGCTAGTGAGGTGAAAGAAGCAGCAGATCGGTAGTTTTGTTGAGGAGAAGCACATGCTTGAGTATATCAGACATCTTGAGGAACTGCAAATTGTATCTATGATAAAAGAGAATTCTGGATTGTACTCCTTCGATTCCGAATTCTAGAGGGGGGGGGAGGGGGGGGCATTGAAAATTTTAAAAACTTGGAGGGGGGGGGAATCGAAATTTACCGATAACCTCAACAGGGGCCCTGTAAAAATATGAGCTTTTTTCAAGACATCTTCATCCCGCCCCCTCGGTGTAATAAATGTACTTTCCCTTATGTACTTCATGTAGTTAAAATTTCAGAATTCCGAAAGTAATAGCGACCAAACAAACTCGTTGAACAACTTGATCACCAAATGATTGCAGTGGAAAAACTGTAATCTATTATCCATCGTGTAAAAATTAGACCGGTATATGTTCATTCAAGGTTCATTAATTAACAAAGGGTTTACGTTCTAGGATCCAATTGAAAGTAGAACTTTCACCAGCTTGATTTAAATGTAAGCGTTGTATACAAGATATGATAATCTGTATTCTGCCGTTGTAAACAGAACAACGGCGACCTCTAAAAACTCCCATATGCATGGGATCTTACTTGCTAATTTCTGTTCGTTTTCTTGTATTAGTATCATATTAAGTGACATTATAAAACGTAAGGCTGTTTCTTGTCACGTGCCCGTTAGATTAAGCTTTGCTCAAGTTCGTTAATGCCAAACGAAAAGCGGAAAGTACAGAATCTCCCCCGAAACTAAACGCTCAAGAATTGGCGATGCTAGTGGTCTTCTGTCCTAAAACAGTCCCATCTCCCAACGTATTTATCCAACAAAGATTGATTGGCGACACTGATCTCAAAACTAGGATTGGATGGAAGGAATTAATTTTGAAATCAGAATATTTATAATGAGGAGAGATCTTACACCTTCCTTACGAGTTAAATCGTTGCATATCCAAATTAGTTATACTATCAAGCAAATATCTACTACTTCTACGTAACTGGAATGGTATAGCTTCCTACACCTCTAATGATCTTGGAATGTTTCAAACTCGGGATAATGAGACTTGAGGCGGTCATACTGCTGTCATCTCAATGGTGTAACCCCAGAAGGAAGAGAGGGCAATGATAACCAATTTCTCGCTAGGCCATTTTTTTTATTCCTACCAATCACCAGAAAATTTAACAACCTTTTCTAAAATGTCAGCAACACCACTAATATGGCCGCCATTGGCTTCATTATGAACACTACCAGATGCTCTATTCATTCCTTGTTTGAGATCAGTGATTAGCGGTAGCCGGGCACTAACAACTTTCGGTAGTCATACTGTCTACAGGACAGCTGCAACAAGAACTGCTTTCAACAAATGTTAATTTAAAATGTTTCTCATCTTTATATTTCACATGTTTTAACTTGTTCGTCAATATTTTTAATTAATATGCGTTGAAATCAGCTTTAATGTTGACTTCAAGGAAAATTTAAATTTTGGTACCTTGTTGTGATGTCGAAGGTTCATCAAGAAGGTTCTGAAAATACAAGACATTATTTGTGAGGCTTACTAAAAGGTCGACAACTTTCAATGACAAAAATACTTACATATGATGTAGCACCATCTGAAGACGTAATATGATCTTTCCACTCGTCAACATTCTTCACAACAGGAAGTGGAGTGCTTTTTGTGACTGGAATGTCCCCGGCATTCTCATGAACCAATGACAGTGCTTTCTCCGAGTTGATGATCTGAGATACGGTGTCGCACTTTATTTCAGCTGTATTACAGGGACAAATAAGCAATATTCAATAACAAGGACATTGCCAATGAATACAAATTCGTTTAGAAAAATAGTTTGTTTGGAAATTTTAAAATAGTTCGTGTAACCTTTTGGCGAAAATTGGCAAAATATGTGAGCAGCCACCTCTAGTATTAATTACATATGCGTGATATGTCACATGAAGGGCCGTACAAAATGTTTGCCTCAATAGCAGGGCCGCCGAGAGGGGGGGGGGGATTGCCCCGGACCCCGAGGTGCTGGGGGCCCCTGAAAAATTTTTGTTGGGCCCCAGTCTTTTTTGTGTGTTAAATATTTTCGGGCAAAGGACAAGATACCTGTTTTTTTGGGATAAGTACCGAAATTTGGCATAAAAAAATGAGATAAAGTCCCTGGAAAGTAATTGCAACGTACTTGTCCGGAAAAATTTTTTACCCCTAAAATGGTACACTGACCGAAAATTTTTTGGCGACGGGGGGGTGGGGGGGAGGTTGTTCTCCGGAAAAATTTTTTTCGGGAAAAATTTTTTAGATAGGGGTCCCTAAAAAAAAGTTTGCCCCCGGGCCCCCGCCAACCTCTCGGCGGCCCTGCTCAATAGGCCCTGGTGGTACCAAAATTATTACTATTATATGCTCTTTAATACCTAAATTGACTTAAAACATCTAAAACATCTAAAAGACGATTTACTTACATGCTGCTTTGTAAACTTCGTCTACATGAGCCTCTGGTGTGGATTGAAGTTCAGTAGCGAAAAGAGCCTGTCAAAAGAGAAAAATTTAAATTCTGTATTTAGTGATGTTATCATAACTTTGATCTACACTTCGATCCCTGGATGGCTCTAAAGGCAATCGTAATTGAAATAAGATGGTAAGTAACTGAATTATATGTAGAGTCATTTTCAACCAAATTTAATTCCAAACGTGTAGTAAAATTGGATTCAAACTTCCACTGGAGTCAAATTAACTCCCTGAAATTAACAGTGTAAAATTAGAGCAAATAGGCTTGGATTGGTAACTAAATTTGCACCCCCAATCTTTCGCTAAATGTTCATCAATGTTGGGTTTTTTTCAGATCTAGAAAGAATAGTGGTACTACGTTGAAAAAAAAGAAAATTACATTCACCGAAGTGGAAGCAACATTTGTTGAGGCAGTCAGCTGAACACCAGAGTCGCCCTTGACCAATGGGAGTTTTCCGGCCTTAACATCGACCAATGGCAAGATCTTATCAGGATGTTCAGTCTGAAATTTCTCTGGAGCCTTGCTTCGTCGAATGTCACCTAGAAAAAAATTTTAAAGTTAGAACTCCTCCGCAAGAAATACCTGTAAACCAAACGTGAACTTATGCTGAAGTTTTAGAGTGTAAGAACCTGTTTATATGATTCTGCCTGCAGAGTAGAACCGGACATTTTCATCTCGCCTCAGGCGAGAAAAGCAATGCGGGAATAAAGACATTTAAGTATTTGACGTCATATGTCTTGCAGAAAAAAGCATTTACACGTACTCGGAAGGAAAGTTCATTGGCCTTACCATGATAAATCGTTTGTATGGGATCCCAGAATTGAAACGAGATCATATATGGACACGATAGAGTTTATAATTATTATGAGAGGGATCTTGGCAAGTGTCCCGACCCGCCTGCTGTAGGTAATTTGGATCATGGATATAAATGCAGTATATGACAATCTTTGTTGGCCTTACTTAGATTAGATACACAGTACAACATCTCAAATCATGCCTGATCTCCCATCAGTCTCAAATGTCGCAGTAACAGTATGAATGTATTTCGTCTTTCTTGTACTGTATGCAAGTCAGTTTTCGTACTTGACTGCACTTGTGAGCACTTGGGACAACTCACAACCGTTACAATCAAATAAAAATAAACCTTCGAAATATGTTTATCAGTGATAAAGTAGCAACATTTTAAGTGTATAAATAAGTATAAGCACTTACTCTCAGCCTCGCCACGGACGATTTCCTGAAGTAAGTTACTTGGAGTATCATCACTTTCAAAGATCTCATCTAAAAAATTAATAATTGATGTCAGTTGACTGATCATTCATCCCTCGGCAATCTGACGTCCGTGTTCACAAAAAGTCTCTTGCTTAAGCTCACCAATCTTTGTCCAAATTTAACTTGAAGTTATGCAGTGAACAGATTATTTTGTCATTGTAAACATCTTTACCTTTTTGCAGTAACACTGCAGCCTCACTTCGTTTGGACGCTGTTGATACGTCAGCTACGTCACAAATCTCTACCTTGATATCTACAAGACCAAGACTACGCTGTACTTGTGGAATAACTGAAAAAAGGAAAACTGTAGTCACCTTGATACCAAAGTATAATTTCTATCCCATAAGTCGTAACCTACGGACTGACATGAAGAACGAACGCAGGCTCACCGGGAGTGACATTACATTGAACAAGGATCAACCGTTGGGAGTAGACGTCGATTTTCGAGTTCCAGTTCAAGTTTTGGTTTTCGACGAGAGTTAGGTAAGTATAAGTTTGGATGAAATATCAGTTTAGGTGCAGCGTATTCTGGACGAATTCCGCTTATTTTTACCTGGAATGACCTTGTACGGCATTCATTATATGGACATGGTCGGAGCGATTACGAAATCTAGGTGTGTCTTTTAAAATATACTATAGTAATGTAGTTTTTACGTTTCTCTCCTAGACCATGTCGAAGGCCAATGTCTCCAGTGTGAGCATATGTGCAGAGCAAAGTCCAAGGCCTATAGATCCGCCAGTGAGCGATCTTGACTTAGATAGCACTATTGATGAAAATTTTGATCAAAGTGCAGTGAACCGCGCGATTTTAATGAGTTTGAATCGCTTAAACGAAAATTTTACAAGCTTATACTGAGCAATATCAGGAAGATGATGTTGAAATAGATTCTCAGCCAACTGACGACCATGTTGAGAATCCTGAAAATGTCGATATTCAGGCGGACATTGATAATTTAATTCAATCAGGCGGACAAGTTGACCGTGTTAGTGCCGACATCACTAATGCCAATGCAAATGAAGCTGAAATTTTGCAATATGAGCAACAATTAGATCTTAACGTTGATGTTAAAGGGCCAGCAATTAGTCAGAAAATTGGCGATTTGGTTAATAAATTGCGACTGCAAAGAGTAAGCCAAGATCAAGCTAAAGCGATCGCCAAACGTCATAATACACCCGAAAATGTTCAATTATGCCTGCCTAAATGTGAACCAAGTATTTGGAATGAAATTCCTGGCAAGGCACGCGTTACAGACATTAAATTTCAGTCAACACAAGCTGCATTGTTAGGTTCTATTAATTGCCAGCTTGAAGCAACTAATTCCTTGCTGTCGGCTAATGTGTCCAAAGATGTTCTAAACAGTTGTTTAGATGGCCTCACACTGGCAATGACTGCTAATTATGAGCTCAATCAACGACGACGGGATGCTATCAGACCTCAATTTAAAGCGGAATTTGCCAAGGGGCTTTGTAGTACTACGAGTCCAGCTGACGAATTTCTTTTTGGAGGCGACACTGCTAAACGCGTTAAAGAGATGGCCGAGTTCAACAAACACAAAGTGTGTAAAGGCACGACCAGAATTTTCAGAATGTGCCCCAGTACGAGCGAAAGGCAAGCAACCAAAAGCCCACTCGCAACTGGTATGTTGACTTATTAACTAATGTTAAATCACTTATTTCTGAGCAGCCAGGTTTTAGGGCTGGTAATACTAAGAATTGTGTTTCTAAATGGTCAGAGATCACATCTGACCCAGAGATTTTAGATAATATAGAGCATTGTCACATAGAGTTCATTGATGACCCTTCTAAATATAGCATTCCAGGGCATCAGTATTTTAATGTCCACCAACATGATATTATTAGTAAGGAAGTAGATAAACTACTGCAGCTTGGAGTCATATCAAAATCGATGCATGCTGCGGGAGAATGTATATCTCCAATTTTTGTAGTACCAAAACCGGATGGTTCATATCGATTGATTTTTAATTTTAAGCGCTGTAACCAGGCTGTTCTTTACAGACATTTCAAAATGGATACGCTTGCTGCAATTCTTAGTCTTGTTACTCCAGGAGCCTATATGGCTTCTATTGATTTAAAGCATGCCTATTACACTATTCCTATTGCAGACGAACAACGGAAATTTCTCAAATTCGTTTGGAATGAACAACTGTATGAGTTTTGTGTACTGCCCATGGGGCTAACTAGTTCTCCCAGAATTTTCACCAAAGTCATGAAGCCAGTTTTGGCTACTCTTCGACAAAAAGGACACATTAACAGTGGTTTTATTGATGACTTTTATTTTCAAGGTCAGGAATTTTCGGATTGCGCAGTTAATGTATCGGATAGTGTCAGACTTTTTATTAGTCTCGGGTTGCATGTCCACCCTGACAAATGTGCATTGATACCCTCCCAAGAGCTCTTAATTTTGGGGTTCTTAATAAATAGTTTGTTAATGATAGTAAAACTTCCCCTAGAGAAAAAGGTCAAATTGCGAGATCTCTGTTTACAGGCTTTGCGTGGCAACAAACTTACAATTCAATTCGTTGCTAGTGTTATTGGTACACTTATCTCTGCCCTCCCTGGGGTTGAGTTTGGTCGGTTACACTATCGCAATCTTGAACGCGATAAAATTAACGCCCTTGCACGGAATAATGGAAATTATCGGGCATTTATGCACCTTTCTGAGGCAGCAAAGCAGGAGCTTCAGTGGTGGACTACACATGTAATGCATGCATCTAGGCGACTACGTCATCCCGTCATCTCCTATATCTTTCAGACTGATGCTAGTGATCTTGGCTGGGGCGTAACGTGTACTACTAATCCTCAGTTACAGTCTCAGGGTTTGTGGACAAGTGAACAGCGTACCCTACATATTAATGTAAGGGAACTGTATGTTGTTTTTATATGTTTAACAATATTTGGTATGGAGAAGTCTGACGTCCACATTAAATTCGAGTTAGACAATATGACTGCCGTTAGTTATATCAATCACATGGGGGGATGTAGATCTTCTGCTTGTGATACAGTAGCCAGAAAGATTTGGGCGTGGTGCATTTCCCACAATATATGGGTCACTGCTAATTATATTCCAGGACCCAGCAATGTAGTTGCAGATTCACTTTCTAGAAAACATCTGTCAGATCATGAATGGCAGCTTAATACGGATATTTTTCACAAACTCTCCAAAAAATTCCCTAAGTTTAGTATTGATCTGTTTGCATCTTTGTTGAACAGACAGGTAGCACGGTATGCCTCTTGGCACCCGGATCCACATGCTGCAATAGTGGATGCTTTCAGTGTATCATGGGCGAATGAATATTTTATGCTTTCCCTCCTTTTAGTCTCATTCCGAAATGTCTGGAGAAAATCTCTCGAGACCAAGCCGAAGGGGTTTTACTGGTCCCTGCATGGCCCACACAAACATGGTACCCTCTTCTTCTACAGATGCTCATTCAGCAGCCAAAGCTGTTGTTGTGGACCCCTCAAGTGGACTTATTGAGACACCCATTAGGCAAGGTTCACAGCATGCAAGGAAAACTGAAGTTGATGGCATGTCCCTTGTCCGGCAACATTATCAGAACCAGGGCTTTTCTGACCACATTACCGGTGTACTCCTCGATTCATGGCGAACCTCTACACAAAAACAGTATGAGAGTTATCTTAAAAAATGGAATTTATTCTGTCGTGAAAGGAAAATTCTTGCACATTCCCCTACTTTAAATCAAGTTTTGGAATTCTTGTACACACAATTGCATTTATCATATTCTAGTATTAACAGTGCCAGATCAGCGTTATCATGTTTTCTTTCTATTGGCAACTTTCCAGTGGGGAAGCACCCAATAGTTTGTCGTTTCCTAAAAGGAGCATTTGAACGGAAACCACCTGCTAATAAGCATCATGCTATCTGGGATGTCCAAACAGTTTTGGCTTATCTGAAAACGTTCACCCCTAACAGTGGTTTAAGTCTTAAAGAACTTAGTCACAAATTAACAATGTTATTGGCTTTGGTGACTATTCAGCGGAAGCAAACTTTAATACACCTCAATATTAACAATGGCTGCATGATACAATCAGATGTTCAATTTGTGTTTGTTCTTGATAAGCATATCAAACAAAGCAGACCAAATTATTCAGTTCCACCTGTTATTGTTCCTAGATACAATTTGGATCCTGATGTTTGCCCATATTTATGTTTAGAAGCGTATCTTGAGAAGACTAAACATTTACGACAAAGTGTCAATTTACTCGTTGCAACGATAAAGCCGCATCGTGCTATTGGATCTCAAACTTTAGCTCGATGGATTAAAATTGTCTTAGCCGGTGCTGGTATTGACATTACTTTATTCAAACCACATTCTACACGACACGCGGCTGCAACAGCAGCCTATGCAGCAGATCTTCCAGTAGATGAAATTCTGCAAAGAGCAGGTTGGAGTAATGCTACCACATTTAGGCGCTTCTATTACAAAGGGGTTATTGAGTAGATCTTACACTTATCGTACGTAATATTTATTAGAATATTGTGTTTCAGTGGTTGGATAGTGTGTATAAGGGAAACTTATTTATTTATTTCTAAACATTCAGATTAAACTTATTTGCATAAGTTTGTATTGTCGGTATTTTTTATACTCACAGCGACCTCGCATGCTTTGAAGACTTCATGTCAGTCCGTAGGTTACGACTTATGGGATAGAATTTAGAAGTTAAACGAAACTTACCTGGAAGTTGAAGTTTGACTGGAATTCTATCCCATAAGATTAGTAACCAAGGACTGACAAGCCCACCCGCCCACTCCTACTGGGTTGTCAGTCTGATGATATTGCTTGTTGGTTCTGTTTATGCTTGGTCACTGTGCGTTGCTTTCAAATAATGATGTGATGTCACTCCCGGTGAGCCTGCGTTCGTTCTTCTTGTCAGTCCTTGGTTACTAATCTTATGGGATAGAATTCCAGTCAAACTTCAACTTCCAGGTAAGTTTCGTTTAACTTCTAAATCAATAAGTTTAATATTTAAAGATTTGAACAAATATCATATAGCCATTTATTGGGAAAATTGCAATCAGTTCTCCCAGCATGCAACAATCTTCGACAATAATCGTGTTACACATTCAGGGTTTTCCCTGCTATCCTTTATTCAAAGTTGGAAACTCATGATGCTACTGTTCCTGTTCACTACTTGATGATAACTCGCTGACATTTTTCACCAGCATTGATGAAGTGAGGAAGAGGGATAAAGCTTACATTTACACAATATATGCATGGGCAGTGTCGCAACAATTTTTGACTGAGGTTGTAGTCTCGTAAATTCTCTATCTCGCCATATCTATTGTCAGACGCTTTGGAAAAAATGGACCACAGAATTGAAATTTTCGGAACCCAAAATGTCACGTTATTTGGATGGTCACGCCGTCAGTTAAGCCCAATAGAGACCTTACGATTTAGGACGGCAACGCAAGTTCCTACGTTCAGGGCCTATCAGAGAAATTCTGGGGACCGGGCCAAATTTTGTTTCGGGGGCCCTATTGTTTCCCGAAAATGTTGGCGAGCGGGGGGGGGGAGGGGGCGGGACGTTGTGGGGT